AAGAGTGGCATGAACGTGGAAAAATCTGTTACAGAATTGACCAATTTTAGTTTACATGAAACCTGTGGCCGCTAGTTACACCTGCAGCGGAATCAGGTAGTACTAAAAATAGTATGTTTTTAAGTTCAGTATTTTAGTGTTAGTGCAGCCTAGCAGTTCCAAGAGCGTTTTCTTCCAAATTTCAAATGGCTTAAGTGTAGCACCACCCAAGTGAGCTAGGTCTGCGTCTAGCAAGACAGTCACATTCGCAGAGAATGTGTCCTGGCATTTATTTATGCAGCTCGCAAAAGCGACAGACGTTTGTTTCTGAAATATGAATTTTACTGAGTTGATAGCGAAGGGAACAGTGTCCGATGTGGTACCCAGTGCATCGCGCATTTGCGATATAGCCATTAGCGAATTTCATTAGAAGCTTCACGAGACCCTTAATGTTTCCGATTTTCATGTCGGAGGTTTTTAGGATTCTCAGAGCCGCTAGTAACAGTGCTGTTACCAAGATCAAACCGCTCACTTGAAATTGGAGGATAAGCCAGAACTATTTAATTTTGGGATGTTAGCACAAGCCTCTACGGATAAACTTCCCGAGTAACGCCTCAACTTTTCTAAAAGTGCCTTCCCTGCAAACCATATTCTGAATGGTAGAGAAAGAAATTCGAAGGAATTCGTAAAGATCTCATCCGATTTAGTGCTGCATGTTCTAAAATGAAATAAACTGTGCACACTTCGGTTCTTTTACAAAACTTCGGAAGAAAATCGGTAAAGTAATGAAAATAATGCTGCTATGTGAAGAATTTCTTGCAGAATTTTCTTTATTTTTCGTAGAAAAATCGTTACAGAAATGAGATACATACTCCTAAAGATTTCGTTAAGATTTCGGGAACTTTGGTTTGCAGGGTTCTCGAGCCTACCAATACATGCTGGCAACCTTCTTAAGGGAGTTTTCGGTTTGCTGTTTTTTTGGTTTTTTACTTTTCTAAATAATTATTTTCTTTCAGTTTGAGTTTGTGCATAATGTGTTTACTACTATTTGTTGTGTTCACATTTTTCGTAATGACCAGGTGGTTGTGAGTATTTATCGCTACTTTTGCGGGCTAAATTTTGCGAATGAAGTTGTGTAATGGGCAATTTCGTTTTATAGTATTTTGCCAAATCTGCTAACCCTATACAACTGGTGCTCAATCAACGGTTATCAATATGGGTTAATCACTATATATCCACACTGATTGTCCTACCGAATTTATTTAAAAGTTCAATAGCTTGCAACAAACCGAAATAGAGCTTTTCGCTTTACTTTACTGACTTGGCCCGTAAGACTTTTACGATGTATGGCTTTGGCTTGGCGCTGATCGGAATCAATAATAATTTTCCTATGCCACCTTGTCCGTTTATTGCAAATTTGATAATGATCTTGTCAGGACATATTTACGTGACTACTTTGATACATTTTAAAATTAAGAATGATTTGCTACCGAATGAGGAACAAGTTGATTTCAAGTTCGGATGGCATGCGAAATTCCGTATTGTCGTCTATTTAATTTACCTTTTCGCTCATCTGTACGACCCGTTTAAGGCGGCTACGCTCAAGCAAGGTTTAACGTCACGTCAATCAGTGTACAGTCCATCAGATTCATTTGTCGCAAATCAGCCGGAATCTAAACGGAACACAAATGTGCTGGAGGGTGTCTTGAAAGAGGTGAATACTCAATCGGCGATTATTGAAGATGCGTCCGTATGCAAAGCGCATTTGCGCGCCTTCTATGGAGAAATTTTCGGCAGGTATTGCATTGGTTTGAACGTTATTTTCTTAAGCAAAACAAGAATTTAGCACAATGCTCCTTTAAACTGCATATCTATTTGCAATTACAGGCACCTATTTGGATTACCTCAACACTTCTACTTCCAGTTGTAGGCGAAGAGCGTCCCTTTAATGGTTGGCAAAAATACTTGTTGTGCTTGAATTTATTATTGCTGCCGACTCTGCTATTTGGATATGCTAAGCTCATAATTGTTTTGCTATTCTTTGGAATTGGACTTGTAGCTGCTACATCGCTTCTAATTAGCACAGAAACTACAGCGCCTTCCAAATATTATAAGGTAAGAAATTTTAGAAAAAACCTCTTGCATGTTACATACTTACATACATATAGTGGCTCGAACAACCGTGTGATTTTTTAATATTAACNTACTTGTTGTGCTTGAATTTATTATTGCTGCCGACTCTGCTATTTGGATATGCTAAGCTCATAATTGTTTTGCTATTCTTTGGAATTGGACTTGTAGCTGCTACATCGCTTCTAATTAGCACAGAAACTACAGCGCCTTCCAAATATTATAAGGTAAGAAATTTTAGAAAAAACCTCTTGCATGTTACATACTTACATACATATAGTGGCTCGAACAAGCGTTCACACGGTGATTTTTTTTAATATTCACAATGTTTTTCAAACTGAAAGTTTTTAATTTTATACAAAACTAGATTGCCCTCGCCCGCTTCGCTGAGTGATATGAAATTTCTGCATGCTAATTTGGGTGTAATTTATTTCAATAAAACTCAATATACNATGTTGTTTTTGCTCTACTGATACTACCTGTTTAATGTGCCTTGATATTAACAATGTTTTTCAAAGAAAGTTTTTATGAATTCATTCACCCTTATGGCTCACAGCATTCTTGAATGGGCATGAATACTGATAAATGCATAGTACTTATATGTATATTTGCATATAGCACCCCTTCACCCCCTCTAAAATGGAGGGAAATGTTTTTTATTGAAACCCCTACGGAATCGAGAATGCTCTATCTTTCGGAGGAATTATCGACCGGTTTCAACCGGTTTCACCCGGAAGTTGTTTAAACTGACCAGAAGTAAATTTTTTTTAAATCAGATATACATGTTTTTACGACAGATTCGGATTCTGAGGATAAAAATACGTAACTTTTGTTTGAAACTCGGAAGTGCCTTCTTCAACCACTAAATGACCTTCGAACTTCAACTAGTCCTGGACTTCCAAAACGGAGAAAAAGTTTTTAATGAAAACCAAAAAAATATTAATCTCCAAATCGGGGATAACTCTATCGTTTGGTACCATTACCGACCTCCGGTTTCGGCCGGAATAAGGTTAAACAGACCGGAATTCCATTCTCGTAACTGGAAGACCATTCCAGAAAACGGTTGCCAAAAAAAGTTATGAATCATGGTCCGCAGAATCCGAATCTATGATCTATGGTAAAAACATGTACATATGTATTTAAAAAATAGAGTTCTGGCCAGTTTAACCAATTTACGGTCGAAAACGGAAGTCGGTTATACGACCAAAAGATAGAGTACCCTCGACTTGGTAAAACATATTTTTTCGTTTTCCAATAAAACACTCAAACACTAAAACACATTTTCACTCATTTAAGAAGTCCAGAACGAGTTGAAGTTCGAAGGTCATTTAGAGGTTGAAAAAGGCACTTCCGAAAAAAAATTTCAAACAAATGACAAATGTTACGAATTTTAATCCTCAATAACCGAATCTGTAGTAAAAGCATGCATATCTATTGAAAAAAAATAATCAACTTCCGGTCAGTTTAATCCACTTTCGGTCCAAACCGCAAGTCGATAATACCACCGAAATGTAGAGCTTGCTCGATATGGTAAGCCATATTTTTTCGTTTTCAATGAAAAACATAACCAAAAAGGAAAAACATTTCCCTCCATTCAAGGGACACCCTGTATATAGTAAAATTAAGTTAATATAAGATTTTTTAAGTAAGACGAAATAGTAGTTGTTTCTCCAAAATCAGCTTTAGGAAGTTCTATTTTCATTAAAAAATTCAGAAAGGAGAATTAAATAGAAAAAAAAGATTTTAGTTCCTATTTTTAACAAGGTTCTCCACAATTTGGGCGAGCTTGATCTAGAAAACGGCATCTCCCCTTCTTAAAGACCCCATCTTAAATACTTGTTGGTGCTTCTTGTTTTAGATAAAAGAACTGTTGAATTTCGAAAAAGAGCAAACATTTTCAATTTCAAAACTTAGAAACAAAAATTTTCTCTAATCAAAATGCTGACAATGTGAAATTTCAATTAAACTTGCCTGCCTAGTATCAGAAGGAATGGGAATGAAATGAAAAATCGAAGTAGGATATTTTTCACATCGGTAAAAAAAACCTGCTATGAAGAATTGAATTTCGCGGGATTTTTTTTCGCAAATTTCTGCTGAACTCATCAACGTGATATAGATTGTATTAGACGAATTGCATTTCCATTAAAACGCAGTTTTCCGGAAAAACTAGGTCCAAGATAATTTTTTTTTTAATATTTGAAATTGGCAATATTTGGTATTTTTCGACACCTCAACAGTTATCTCTAAAAAAATAGCATTAAAAAATATAAGAAGTGTTGGTCCGGCTTTCGAAATCAAACTCGTCCAAATTTGGGTGAACCGTGTAAACAGTAAAATAAAATAAATCAACAAGTAAAAGTTATGAAAGCAGNCATTATAATCCTATATGAAAATACAAATTTTCGATTATTTATTTATTATTTATTTATTTTTTTTTTACTAAATTCGAATTTGATCAACATTTAACACTGTAACATATACAACTACGTATCTTAATTATTATTATTATTTTTTTTCGAATAATAATTCAATATCAACAATTTTGCAATTAGGAAATGTTTGGCAATTTATTAAATATAATATTATTATGAATACACTTTTAGAGCTAAGCATATTTAATTTTAAAACAAAGTAAATTGGCAGAGTAATACTAAGCCGTTACGTCTTGCACCTTAAAATAATTGAGAATAAATTCTTCCACATACATACATCAGCCGTAGCTTAAATAATTTAAAAATGTTATAGATAAAATTAAAAACAACGCTAATTTATGCGCAAACTTAAAATTGGCACATTTTTTCAAGATTTTATTTTAAAACTACAGGAATACATACTTTGTATAGCGTAACGTAAATCTGATCCGTTAAAATATGTATACTAATGGAGTTTTTTTTTTTTTTTAATTGAATCCAAATCATTCTATACTTACGCTAGCAATGAATTTATAATTTGAGTTTAAAAGGAAAAACGTTCTTATTTGTGATTAAATTCAATTCCTCTGAAAGAATGCGCTTCGCGGGCAAAGGACATGGCATTATTTTGAACGAAATAAAGATTTAATAAAAATATTGTGAGTACCTATAAATTACCGATATCGGACAGCAGCGACTGAAGATCAGATACATGTATAGGACATTAGTTTCAGAGGTAGCGGCGACTACCAGAAATTCGCGCTGCAGGAATTTTATAGAGTATCTGACCATTGTAGCATTTTTTCAATAATTTAATCCACTCACAACCTAGAAGTCGATGAGGCTTCAAATACGATTTCTTCAGGCTTCTCAGTTTCGTATTCTAAGAAACCCTTCTCTCAAAAAATGCACGCTAAGCTAGATACCGTCCCATTGCAAAAATACTAGCATAGTTTAAGTACGTAAGTAGTACTTATACAAACGGAATTATGCCAGGCTACTTTACCTAACCTAAATCAGCCTAACGATTTCTAGAACATAAAACTTATATCCCTTCAAATGCATACATACATACATACATAAAAATATAACTTGGAAAAATATATATTTTTCTCATAAGCGCTATAAGGAATTTTTAGAATGCTCATTAGTTAGTGATCATAAATGATCACATTGGGGAACTGAGCTTAGGCAATTTTGGAATTTTTTTTACCTTGTTCGTGGTATACCTAAATATATTACATTACACTACATTTGTACAACATACTTGTGAGAGTTTGCTCTACCTTTGCTGAATTAAAACTAACACGAACCTAAAGAATTTATTCTTAAAACATTTTAAAGCATAAATCTGGAAAATATGGGAGTAATTTTACAACACTTCTCGTATAGCCTGCATTTTGAGGAGACTCACAAGGCGTCATAGTGATGCAGATTGCCTAATGTCAAAAATTTTGAAAAATAAATACATATTTTTAGGTGCTAAAAATTATATACATTAGACTATTATGACTCTTTGAGAATCACCAAAATATATCCTTACTATGTATGTATAATACTTTATAAATAATACAATTTTTAACTGGCTACAAAAAAGGAGTTATCAATTCGTCGGAATAATTTTTTATGCCGGACTCCATGAACCGTTTTTAATAACTGTTTTTTTTTATTTAAACATTAGATCATGAAGAAAGTAATGGTAATCCAAAATTTTATACATATGAGCATTGAAATCGGTTGTTGTTTTTTTTTTGTTTGCTTAAAAATTATTGGTTTTTTTAAATGGCCAAAAATCTGGATGGTCTTTTGTTTGAGTCACTCACTATCTTTCAGTTCACTGAAAATTCGCATATACGAGTAAATACACATAGAATATATTACGTATCTATGGACACTTGGAAGAACAACTCAAGTCAAGTTATGCCACTTCCCGCTTAAACCATTAAATCGGTGCTTCCTACTATAGAAAGGCCGAACAGCTATTGTTGAGATCGAACCCAACCTTAGGGCAGTTTTTTTTTACACAATACACTCCGTCAAACGGAAATTAACGCATTCCGCTCTATAGAGTCTTATTAGTAGATAAGATCGAAAAAGTCCTCGATTTCAAGGAGGTTGCTCTATGTCCCTTCGTAGACATCGAGGATACTTTTGATAATATATACTGGCTACGGATTTATCTCAGGGCTTTGGTCCAAAGAGGTATAGATCTCTATTGTCGGGTGGATCGACGCCATGCTTCGTGAGCGTAATATAACGTCGTGCTTGAGCAATAGTTCCACACGCATTGGAGATACGTATATGTGTAAAGATGACTTCAGACTAGATGCTAAAAGAAATGTGCTTTAGAATGCCATTTCAGACCGTGAGGCCTGGTCAATTGGATCACCTCAAATCGATCTCAGAAATGCAGGCTAGTATACAGACAAATCGAAAATGGAGGGCAGAATAGGTGCGGCTGTCTATGGTACTGGCACCAAACTCTCCGCTGTAATGAGCATTTGGCCCACAATCTTTCTGATCGAGGTCTTAGCACTCTCAACCTCTACTAGAGTCGACCTGATGGCTTTATCAAAAAAGATAATCATCTCCGGGATCGTCAAGGGGCGCTTTGACACTCTTCCTTTGCCTTTGTCTTGAAGAAGAGGAAACGTCAGAGCATATTATGTCTGGTTGTCCGGTATTGGCCGGACCAACATTGTAATACTTTAGTTTTTCCGCAGTCGAATCCCTTAGTATCAGGAGTTCGTCTACCAATTTATTGCAAGCATTTATTAGGGAGGCTGATAGTATCTTGGGCCGCCAGTGTTAGGAACTTATCGAAGCTCTACAAAGATCTCCTAGGCCACAGTTTCAATTATTTCTCTTGTACCCAATAAATTACATAAGGTGCAATTCCCGTATTCCTCGGCCTAAAACTAGTAAAATTGTCAAAAAATAAAAATTCGCTCAGAGCGAGAGAGTAACATTGGAAAGTACGGGATCACTTTCTAGTAAAAAATTTTAACTTCTGTCAACTTCAACATAACGTCCAAATTTTGGTTGTAAATTTTTGCTTATTTTATACGTAAACACACTCAGCTCACACATATAAATAACCAAAAATACTTTGAAATTGATTAGAATCCACTTAAACAAGTAATTAAATACTTTTCAACATGAATTAGCAGAGTGCACTTTTCTTTTGTTTACAATTTGGTTGCCAAACACACTACAGCTGATCGTTTGACACATTTACCAGAATTTACCAGCAAAAAATTCTCGGACTAAAACTGGTAACTTCTGACAGAGAGAGAACCGTATTTACTCTCTTTTTTGTCCTCTCAATAGTCAGAGAACCGAGTACGGGATCGATTTCCAGTAAAATCTGACTGATTCTGACTATTTCTGACTAGTCCGGACTCGTACGGGATCGCAACTATAACTAACAAGCTACATAACTATTTCTCACTACAGAATCAATACAGCTAAAATCACGCGAGTTGTGTTTTCAAATGCCCACAGATATACATATGTATGTGCCTGTATACATATTCGCTTGTATACAACGCATTAGGATCTTCACAATAAAGCCAAACAAAACAATTATCGACGGCAATATCAATTTAAGCTAAATAGCAAAACTATTGGCTTACACAGCTAAATCTTCTGGACTCTTCAACTTAATTTCTATTGTAATTTGCAATTATTAATGTAATGCTACTAAGTAAATATGTATCTGTAGTTAATAAAGGTAAATGGACAATTTACTTTGGATGGCGTGCGCGAGTTCTTTTATGTCTGTTGACGCAACTGGTTGACAACTTGATTAACCGTGTTTTAGTTAAACATTCATGGACACTAAATTACGATATACTAAATTAATTGACTCCCATCTCTGCCACTGCTGCATTGGCATTCACATCCGCCGCCTCACCACTGCTGTTGTCAGTTGCTAATAGCTGAACACTATTACTATTCACTTCCGTTCGATCAACAATTATATTAGTCCAGTTAGCATTCGCTTTGACTATCTCAATGTCGCAGCGTAACTTTTGCAAATCCCCATAGTTAAGCGTAGTTGCCTCGCATGCCTGTAGCACGGATAATACATTCTCCAATTGGTTGGCGTACACACGCAAACGCTCATTGTTGCTGTTGTCCTCCTGTCTTTGCTCCGTCGTCATGTACTGTATGTGTGTGTGTGTATGTAAGTGAACGGCATTTGTGTAACATATAAATTTGCATATTTCAAATTTCAATTTCTTACCTCGGGATTTTTAATAACTGCACTTAGAAGAAAGTTTCGTATTTTGAGTTGCTTGAATTGTCCTTCAGTTTGCCACATTTTTAGCAAACTCAAAATGTCATCCGCATCGTTTTCGGCTACATTTCCTTCTTCAGCTGTGGTGCCGTTATTCATTGGTGTTGGGCTTGGTGCGGTGTTGGGGCAGAGTAGTTGCTGTTGCAAAGGTGAAAACTCAACTGTCGGTGAGAGTTTCTTATAATTGCTGCATAGTGTACTCAAATTACAAATGTCCTGCGTTAGACGCTGTCGGTTGGCCATCATTAAATGTTTTGAGGGAATTCAATTCGAATTTGCAATTAGCCAATTCAAAAGTGCGGTTGGTTTTCAAATATATATTTATGAATGTATTTATGTATGTATGTATGTGTGTATGTTATGTAGTATGTGTGATATTAAAAAAATTTCGACATTTTTCGCTTTTAGCATTTACAAGATAAATTCGAAAACCGTTATTAAGGTGGGAAACGTAAAATATGTATTCACATTGGCGTTTGTTGATGGGGTGTGAGATGTGACATCATGTCATGGAATAATTGAAAAAAATAAAATCACATTAAAGATCTTTATGAAATGATTTGCGAATCTAATAGAATGTGGCAAAATATGAGGTGTGTGATTTGAAGCTTATCTTATTTAAATAAAGGGAAATCAAGCTCTACGTAGTGGAACAAATTATGTAACTCCAAATTAAAATAAAATATGAGCAAAACCCGAATGTGTTTTAGAAAATATTAAAGTTTATATTTTTTTTAAAACCCTCTATAGCTGCTAAAACGGCCTTGAATTTACTATTTAATCTGTGAAGTTCTTCTGAAATTGAGTTAAGAACTACAGGAATATTCTCGCCTTTTGTAGGCAGTTTTACTTTTGGAAACAACCACTTGAACTTGAAGGAAATTGTTTTACATAAGTGAGTTTGGCAAAAAAAAAAAATTTCAGGAGGAGCTAAGCTAGAACACTCTAAAAACGAAAATTAAGAATTAATTACAGTATAGGAAGATACGTCAAAAGATTCTCAATACCGATTTTTACAACTGTGAATATTTCGCACTGTCGAGAAGGAGGATCTGCTGGAGTTTATACCGGTATTATCACCGCCACCCACTCTAATCTAACTTAAACATATTTCATCACACCGGATTGACTGGATACTCTGATATTAGAAATGATACAAAAGCATTTTAACTCCGCTGGAATGAGCTTTTTTTATTCAGCTAAGGTCGGTCGTTTACGGAGGGAATAGATATGGTTTCACTACATATAATTACACTGTTCGGCAGTCGGATGGGGTATTGAGCAAACTAAGTTTTTCTGAAATTCTGAAAGCCCAGGTTGGCGATTTTAAACGTTTTTTTTTATCGAAGTCTGTGGTCGCAGAGCAGCTTTTAAAACAATTTAAATTTATTTGAATGCAAATATTTATACCATCAAAAGGTCTTTCTGGTGGTTTTTGTGTACGAGGAATCTGAATCTGCAATTTATTTTTACTCATGTTTTTTTTTTGCATCAAAGCGCACCCAGCGGTCGTTTTTGAGAAACATTGTTTAGAAACTTTGTTGAGAAATATTGTTGAGAAACATTGCTGACACTTTTCCTTCATGTTTTTTTGCATCAGAGCGCACCCAACGACCGTTTTTGGCAAAAATAAATTACAAATTCAGATTCCTCGGACTCCAAAACCCCTGGAAAGGCCTTTTGATGGTATAAATATTTGCATTTAAATTACTTTTAATTGTTTCAAATGCTATACAAATAAGGGAAAACTGAACTGGAACTTTTCTATATACTACATATAATCCAGACTTTCAGAAAAACTTGGTTTCATCAATTCCCCAGAAAAAAAAATATGAAAATGTCGCACAGCATTTTGCAACATACGGGCGTGTTCAAAAAGTCAGTGATATACCCAGGATATGTATAGCATCGATATTGGAAAACGAGAGAAGGCCTTTAGCTCTAGAAATTATCTTTTGGGATGTCCTTAAGCGATAGTTGTAGTGATGAAAAAGATATAGTATGTGCAAATTTGAATATTTTGTAAAACTAAACGAAAAAATTAACGTAACTTTAAGTTGTGTCTACTAACAATGGTTTTATTACGGTTTTACATTTTAAATAAAATATACATAATTGTACGAAAAATTTGAATACATAAATTTAAAAAAAAAAACAAATTTGAAACAAAAATAATATTAAATATTAGATACAGTAATACATAAATCCAAAAGGTGAAGGTACAACTTCGATTATGTAGTTTAAACAATAAGGAAATGCACAAATTCTCTTTTCGCATTTACTTAAAATCTAAAACGGTCTGACATACATATAAAAATACACATAATAACTAAATATACTTTTTTAATGCCAATGCGTAGAGTAGTCAGATGAAAATGTTTCTGCTACCATTAATTACGAAAATATATATGCAAAAAGGTAACTCGCTGTACTATACTGTAATAATTTTGTCGGATTCGTTTTGAATTTCGTCGTCGTTTCATTAGCGGTTATCGTTTAGAAAAAATAATACTCATATCATAAAATTTATATTGAGACCAAAGTATGTAAGTATGTACTATACATACATATATAGAAAATAAAAAAACAGTGCGTAAACTATGTAGTTGCTCACATGCAACTAATTTCCTATGCATGTATGTATGTATATGTGTATGAATGTGTTATTAGAAAGAAGTCTCCAAGTTTCGGTGAGTTCTACAACCAAATAAATAAATGCTTGTGCAAAAGTAACTCAATTCTAATGCAAAAACAAAAAAAATCATTATTTATCAATCGATGATAGTGAACTTTAACTTTTCTTTAAAATCTTACATCGATTTCGTTGCGATGTCGCTGCATTTCTGCTTTAGTGTTCGACAAATCGTTATTTTTCAACAGTAATTCCTGTGTGGCATCCATAAGCTCGTCCTGCAGCTTGATGTTGACATCCTGCAGATCTTTTAGTTTCTCCAACATATCCTCTTTATTTTCTTGTAACTTATTCCTAGAGAAACAAAATAAATAACCGTTAAAAAAAATACGATTTTTTTAATACTCGTGTCCCACAATGCACAGTAGGCCAAAACTGGAATCTAATGGAAAGGTGTTACCTCAAAGATGGTCCCATACTAATTTGGTTTAGATCCGATCATTGGATCTTGAAGATATTAACAATATATCTTAAATTTTTATGGGGCGATTGAATTCGGTTTTGTTTTTTGCTTAAAAATTACTTGTTTTTTAAATAAAAGCTAAAAAAAAAATTTCAAATGTAAAAGTATAAATTAAAAAAAAAAATCAACAAAATTTTAAATTTTTTCAAAAAAATTTAGGTATGCAGTTCTTGCTGAAGTTTTGCTGACAGCATTTTCTTCCATATGAATAAAGTATGCTGGTAATTTCGGCAAAAAATTCAACGCGAATTCTTAGCCACTGGAAACGTACACATTATGATCGTAAAATTTAATTTGTTTATAAAAATTAAACAAGAAGAAATATTAGTTTTAAGATTTTCGTGTGAAATTTCTTTGAACTTGTGGGCAACGCTACAATTGTTTTCGATTCGATTTTCTTCAAAATTTCTCTGCACTTTTCACTCAAAAATTTTATATAAACTGATATAAACAAACAAATAATTTTAAATCGGGCTCAACAGGCCTCTTCAAAATTTTATTAGCTTTCATTTAAAAAGGGTTTATCAAATCTATTGAAAAATTAAGGCTCCGCACTATTCAGAACAGCAAATTCCCGTTTTAGACCACTGTGCAATATATGTATGTACTCACTTATCAACAATAAGTTGCTGTATGCAACTGTCGTTATCCATTTGAATGAGCCGCAGGACTTTCAGCAACTTAGTCACCAAACTATCGACTTCTATCACCTGATCAACAACGGCTTGTGCTGTGCAGTACTCCATTAGCGAAGGCATTTCAGCCACTGAATCGTGACAGCTCGCTTCATCAGAATTTTCAAGCTCACATTGACTGGAAAGTAAAACGTAAAAGTGCGGAATGTAGCGTGATTAAATCCGCATAGCCCTTTGCTTATATGTATCTATAATCTAACTCACTTCAACTGCAATGCGGCCTTTTGTACACTTTGCATAGCGCTGATCTGTAATTCCATCTGTTGTCGATTAACTATAGCCTGCGATAAGTTATGTAAGGACTCATCGCCAGAAGCAGGATTAACAAGCTCCGTTGGTATTTCCAATTGGGAAATAATGCCATTACACGATGAGACCATATTATGTGAATGAGAGTCGGGCATTGTCACATCTTCGAGCACATTATCCATCATTAGACAGGGTTCTGTTTCCGAATCGAGCATTTCAGTGGAATCTGAGTCATCTAAGAGGTCGAATGAGTTATTTAATTTTATTAAAAAAAATAATTGTATTTTATTTATTTTATTTATTTTCAATCGTTGTTGTACACTCACCACCGGCTCCATTTTGCGTATCGCCATTATAGTTGTTGTAATTGGCATTGTTGTTACTTTTGTTTGTACCCTGTGGATGCGGATCTCCACCACCACCGCCACCACCACCACCACCACCACCAACAGCGTTATCAATACTACTAATACGTTTTCCATTCCGCGTCAACAATTTTTTACTAGAGGGTGTTGTTGCATTACGTATGGCACTAATGACGGCAGCAATGAATGATTGATTTCTTTGTGGCGACAAAGAGCCATCACTCGACTGTGGCAGGAATTGTTGGGAATGCGTACATAACTCCAAACCATTTGTATTGGCGTGCGATTGTAAACGGCCATGACATTCGTCTATATTTTGTGATGAGCGCATTTCCAATGCGTTGCTTTGATTTTGTTGTATCTCAGGCTGGAAGCCGATATCCTGTTGAAGGTACGAAAATATGTATATTAAGAATTATTAATCTGAATCGAAGTTTAACTGCGAGCAAGTGAAGTGGAATCAAAATCGACTCGTATACATATTAATAAGGGTAGATTTTTTGATAAAAACAAGCCGAACACGAAACAAAGCCCCTGAGTTTTATGAGTTTATGCTCCCACTTCAGCAGGCATATGTGAGCAAATCACACGAGTATTTACATTTTTCCTCAAAAACATGTTTTTGGTCGAAAATAGTGGCACACTTATCTTGGATAATGCATTATCTTCTGTTTTGCGTAAAGAGCAAGATTCCATCGCGAAATTTAATTTAAATTAAAACTTAAAAAAGATATGCTAAAAAAGTAAAACAACAACTCATGCTCATATACTCGTAGTTGTAACGTATTTAATAATAAAAAAAACGTAAAGTTTTAAAAATTACCAAATAGCTGCGACAGATATTCTGCACGCTGCCATTTTCTTTTTTTAATTTGGTGGCACACTCATGAAACTTCACTGATATATTTTATTTGATGCCAACGTTCATTGCCTCTAATATGAACATTCTATTTGAAAACTTCCCAAAGTTATTTACAAAAAAAAAAAAAAAACAATTATGATTTTTTCGAATTACAATGAAAAAATTAGTAATTTCTGTACTCTTTTCGTCTAAATAAATGTTTTAAGGTTAAAATTTTTCAAATACTTGATTGATTGAAATAAATAAATGCAATAAGAATGCTTTAGCGTTTTTTTGTCTGGTGAGAGAAGGAAGTGACACTAAAAAAACAACTCGTAAGATTTGCTCATGTATACATTATGTCCTTCTGCGTGTAAGTGTTTATGTAGGTATGAACGAACTTATATACTTTTCTAGAATATACATATTTAAATGCTGCGCAACTATTCTATTCCAGTTACATACATATATATGTATGTATTTAAGTAAGCAGAACTTCTAAAAAATGAACATGCAGCCAAATTCCTATGGATGATGTTCATATGTACATACTTTAACTGCAACTAATGCTACCTCGACGGCGTTAGGGTGGCATTATCACTTGTGAAGCGAATGAATTTGGCGAAGCGAATGGTTTGGCGAACGCAACTAAAATATGAATTAAGAGTGTTCGCTTGTACAAGTGCTTTGTATTGCGAACACTTAGTGCCTTCTCTTCCTCTTAATTCGCGTCCGTTAAACCGTTAGCTTCGCCAAATTCATTCGCTCCGCCAAAAAGTTCGCTTCGCCAAATTCATTCGCTTCGCAAGTGGTAATGCCACCCTTAAACAATCTACAGCTAAAGCAATATTGGCATGTCAAGCACCACCCACCCCGTCAATTAATTGTCATTTGTCATCGCTTGGAACATCGCTGACCATCTTCTCCTTTTTCAAGAAGTAAGCATTTAAAAACAAACAGAAATACGAGTACATAAGCTGAACATTACATTTTTAGGAATTCTTATACATACATACTATCTATGAGTATTTCAAAGAGCAAGAAGTCTAGAAAACTACTCAGTGAAGAATAGCAAAGCTCAAATACTATTAGTGCGAAAACATGTGAATCCTTATACACGAAGAGTTCATTTTAAGTGCGGATGAGCAATAAATATGAGGGAACCCACTTTTGTTTTTAGGAAGAAAATAATTCTCGTGCACGATGGTTAAAATTCACTTTTATTATGGATATTCGTTTGCAAAATTTATATAACAAAAAGGGCAAACAAAAATGTTAAGCGACACTGTCGGACCGACCATCAGCATCTTTACCAAATTCTCGCTCTGTGAAAGCCGTCATTGGCTTTCTACCAAGAGGTACAGCTCGCGTTGTTCTGGTCCATTTACGGTCTGAATACTGTAACCGGCTAAACTCCTACTTACTCAGTTTCAAGCCCCACATACCTAACGTACTATGTCCCGTATGTGAAGGAGCCCCCACCAGGAAGAACGACCTCTGCACCTGTCAGCTTAAACCTACTCAACTAACATCTATCTCTCAATAATTTGGTCCGACCTCGTCGAAACAGCACGCTTCCTGTGACGACAATGACTTTCCAGTCGACTATCTTATCTAGGCTAATTAGTCGCTACAACAACAACAACAAAAATATCTTCAGCAGTTATAGAAAAATATAGAGAATATATAGAAAGTTCGCAAGCATCAACAAAAAATTCTCCAACCCTGGGGAGATTTATTTTTGGCTTTTAGAGCAACATGTTATGTCCAACCAGTTATTAAAGAAAAACATTTCTTTCTATAAAACACTTTTGTTGAGAATGCTATCTTACGTAAGTGATCAATAAGTTAAAAATATGCATTAGAGCTCGGAGAACAGTGTACGCTGATTTATAACTTAAATCTTAAGTTGTACTAAAGCTAAATGCTTACTGTAATGGCCGGTAATTTAAAGAGCTTTGTCCCCGATCCCACTTTTTTAATGAGCTCCGATATACATATACAATAGTGTATAAGTAAACTGCATGGAGCCAGTTTTAATAAATATTTCTGCAATACGCAGATGAAAGGATCACATCAAAATGTGTATCATCGAACAAATTCAGAAATATTGTTGTTGTTGCAGAAGAAGTGCTTAACCTTGCATTTATCTAGTCATGTTGTGTTCTCTTCATTCTCTGATATGGTAACATGAAGCCGATGAAGCGGGCGACACATTGGGTAAAGTGCATAATTCTCACGGTCTCGGGTCGTCGGGTTGGAAGGAAATTTGTCAAGGCATGGCGGGAGTTCGACACATCATAGAAAAGATTTTCTAATAGCGGTTGCCCCTCGCCAGGCAATGGCAAACCTCCGACTGTATTTCTGCCACGAAAAATAGATTCTCAGGCGGTGCAAGGGAATCGGCGTAAAACTGTCGTTCCATCCCATTTGTGTGACAACATGACACCAATAGTTGGAGTAGCTTGGCCAAACAGTAACCTATTTCGTAAACGGCAATCTGTTATTATAATTAAGTTAATCGGCCGACTACTGTTTTGTCGATTTTAAAGTCGCGTTTGACAGCGCAAAGAGATACTGCTCTACGATGCCATGCTTAAATTTGGGACCCTCTACAGCTATGTAGAGTGAAATCTTCAAATTTGTGAAATTGGGACTTCTTATGTTTGATGTTGGAAAGCGTAATCGGAGCTGCACATCTGAGTCGCAGCGGTATTATATATAGCAAAGGCTTCATGCTGCAGGCATATGGTGGGTATAGTTCCAGATAAAAGAAGAAGATATACATATGAAATTTCAAGGCCGCCTATGCAGAACTAATTTTTCTTTGCAAAAAACCATACTAAATATATTTAGCTTATCCATTCCACATTTGAGAGTTTCGACTAAGTTTAACCACCAAAAACCCAAAATGTTATTAAATATAATTCTATTTATAAACATTCAATTTGAATACATACTCACATTGCACACGATGCACGAATGCTTACCTCTAGGTCATGCTCAGTTATGTTGTAGGTAGAGACCAATTGTTCAACTAAACTGTCCAAACGCGAATGCAAGCCCGACAGCGCAGCAGAGGCGCCTGAAACCGAATAATTTTGCTGCATCATCATTTCCTTGGATTTATTTTCTAGCGCTGCATATTTGGATTGTAGCATGCGATTCTCTTGTCTGAATTAGGAGACAAAAAAAATAACCATTTTATTTAATTAACCAAGTTCAACATAATTTGCGCGTTGCTCTCACCTTCGCTGCTCATTAAGCCGCACTAGATGCCGACATTCATCGCGCAAAACTTTCACCTCTTCTTCGCGCCCCGCCAGCTGTTGCTTACAGGCTTGATGCTCATGCTCGAGTTCTTTTAGTGCATCATGCAATGTTGTTTTTTCGTGTTGTAGAAAGTCTTGCAATTCGCTCGACTCCTGCTCGATAGCAGCCTTCTCTTGCAATAGACATTCTTGTGCCGCCAACGAGCGTTCCATTTCTAATTGTAGCGTCCGGCATAGCTGACGCAACTGTCCGATCTCGTGTTGACGCTCGATCAACTCATGGCCACTAATTTGTATCTGTGACTCCAGCATAAGCAAACTATCGTGTCCACTTCCACTACCTTCATCCGACGTTGGCGTAGTAGCGTCACCATCCAGACTTATGCCGCTGACGCTACCGCCAGGGCGACCACATCTACGGCCCGCAATTCGCGCCATTTCCAGCATGCTCATCACACGTTCCGTATTCAAGTGCAGCTCACGCTGTGTTGCTAGTTTCTCTTCACGTTCATGTTGCAGCTTCACGCTGAGTTCGTGTTCACGCTGCGCTAATTGTCGCACTTCATCTCGCAATCGCTCCAATTCAGCGTCGCGCATATCAGTCTGTGTGGTCTGCTCCTGTTGATCGACAGCATCTATGGCGCGCGTTGCTGCCTCGCGTCCCGCAAACACATTTTCCAAATCTTCGCCGGTGAGCGCTGTTTGTACACTGGTCTCATGGTATATGCGCGTTTTAGGCGGTTGCGCAGGTGTTTTGCGCGTGTGTATAAGTGATCGCGCTTGGTTGCTTTGTGGTGTCGATGCGCCAAACGCGCTGACTAGATTCCTGCGCGTGCCTGCCATTAAGGACGTAGTCATGCGCGCATCGCGTGTTATTGAACTACTGCGCGACTCATGTGGCGCTGTTAAGTCTTCCACAGATTTTTGTTTGCGTCGACGCGGTAGCGTGCTATAAGGATTTGAGTTGGCGTTCGAGCTGGTCGACGACTTCACCTCCATCGATGCCATCATATTTGAGGAACGCATTTTTAGTGACATCAAATCAGGCGTCACAGATACACCGCGCTTGGCTGCACCTACGCCAACACTGGAGGTGCGCGTAGTATTGCCAGGCCAACGGCCATCCTCTGAAGGCGTACATGGTGTGCGCGCTCGACTTAACGATGGTGTACGCTGCACCAACCGCTGCATGCTCATGGATTGTGTACGGCTGAGTGTGTTCGGCAAGGAATCCGGCTTTTGCGGTTTTGTGGTGCGCGCCGTACTGGAGCGCAACGTAGAAGTCGGCGCTGCCATTAAAGTCTTACTGTTGTAGTTGCTGGTTCCACTAGTGGTCAACTGTTGCTTGTCTGTTTGACGTTGTGCTGATGTCGCAGCTGTTGCAGGTACGTGGCGCGACAAAGATGATGTGCGTTTTACACCCACCGGGCGGGCACGCGGTGTGGTCGCACTGCCAGTGTGTAAATAAGCGCTGCTAGAAGTCGAGTTTGTGGATATCGGCGTGCTGCTGCAATCTGCAAAAATAACAAATAAAATTATTTATTAACAGTTCATTAATAAAATTATGTAGCTTTCAAAATATTTACCACGCTCGCGCATGCTTCGCGACATTGGCGTGGCAAAACCACCGCGGCTGGATTCAAATACACGCACTTTGGTCTTAACACTGTTCGAGCGTCGCACAGGCGTTGTTGCAACAGTGGCCCCACCCAACATCGACGAACTCTCACTGCCATTTTCACTATAACACTCAAAGCTCTGCGTGGCAGAAGACACAGCGCCATAAGTGGCAATACTTGTGGCCAACTCAGCGCTTACCGCGTCCGAGCCGCAACTGAGCAAGCTAGAGTTGCCAGATAGATTTAGTCCTTGAACGACAGCAGTGCTTGTCATTGTCAACGCTGTCGTCTGATGGATGACTTCATCCAGCCCGCCCGAGCTGCTCGCATAACCACCGCTATTGCTGCTCAACGCACGTTGCAGTGAAATGTTCTTAGTGGCACTGCTGCTGTCGTTGCTGTTGCTGTTGCTGTTGCTGTTGCTGTTGCTGTCGCCGCCTACAACGCCAGTCATTGCAGACTTTGTGGTCGCTGTGTCCAGGCCACTATCACTTCCGCCATCACAATGGCTGCTGCCACCTTCTTCATGCAAGTCTAACGCTGCCATTTTGCTTTCCAACAGCGCATCGCAATCACTCTCAAATTGTGTAGACATGGGATGAGTTATTTTTAAGGAATCATTAAGATGTCTCTCAGTGCTAGGTGTGCTTGGTATACTTGACGCCAGTTCTAGGCTGATTGCAGATCCATCATTGCGGCCACTTAATTGCTCATCGCTAATGCCGTTACAGGAATCACCCTCAACTGTGTCTTTATCCAGTTGGAGCTCATGTGTCTTATGATGTTCCTGTTCAGAGTCCTGAGTATATAATATGGCGGACATTTTGTTCTGTTTATGGCTGGTGGGCGTTGCGCTAAGGCAAAGCAGAAGATTCACTTATACATTTTACCTGAAAATGAAAAGAAATTTAATGATATGATTTTTAATAGAGGTTCAAAAAAATTGCGAATGGGAAATATTTTAAGGCATCGGTGACTGGTTCTAGTTAATAAAAAACATTATTGCAACAAATACGGAATCTCGGAGAAAATATTATCGGTTACGCATTAATTTTAAGCTGCATATAGCAATTAATACCGTTAGAGAACAAAATCATAAAGAAAAAAGGATTTGCATTAATTGCACATAAATCCTACAAACTGATTTATCAAAAAAAATCGACCTAAATTTTTTTGAGAAGGTGTGCGAAATAAAGTCATACGTTTTCTCACCATCAGTTATCAGGGAGCTGCAGTGAGGTTAGTTAAGGTAAGTTTAAGTATATAGATACATATATAAGTTAACCACAAAGTCACAAAACTCAGCATATCACTATTGTGATTTTTAATAATCTTGAAAATATGCCACAAAACTTGATTTTAAGTGCTAAGAAAATGCACACAACTTTAAGTACTTTTTTTAGCGGCATAAATGTCGTAGCAGTATTCTAGGTGATTTTAGGTGAGTTCAGTTGGAGTGAGGTGGGTTGAAGTGAGGTGCGCTGGGGCCATTTTTTTATCTTCATTATTTTCTCCTTCTACATAGTCATCATCGACTTTGTCCTTATGTGAAGTATCTATTTACATTTACCTTCATCTTCATCTTCGTCTATATCTTTACGTTTCTTTATTTTTATCCTTTTCTTAATCTACGTATTCACTTTTACCATCATCTTTATATGTATTAGGGTCCTGGTAAACGATGAAAATAATCCTAAAATAAACAAAGCGAAACACTGCGATTGAAGTGAAAACGACAACACTTGAGTAAATCCATTCTCATGAACGTGAATTCCTATTCTCATGAGAATTATTCTCATCGTTTACCAGAACTTTAATTCTCAATTTAAATATTATTCTTAAATCATTGCCTCAGTATCAAAATTAAAGCATACACATACGAGACATTTCCGCCTACAACCATTCATCATTTCCATCGCATTCGCCATGTTGATTTTTCAATTCACAACCGCCACTAAAAGGGTTTAACTTCAAAAAAAAAAAATCATCGAAATCAGTCAATCCGCATAAAATCTAAGAGAAAATGATCTTCATATTTTTTGTTTGTGAATTTTTCGTTATTTTAAGTTATTTTGCTATTTGGAGCGGAGACAATTTCAACAAATGGCATAGTATATCATAAAAAACTGGGAAAGCTCAATGAAATTTGGTTTGAGGATCATTCTTTCCACAAGGTAGGGTGGTATTGAAAATGGGTAAAATCGGAAAATAACTACGCCCACCTCCCATATAGGGTTATTTTTGAAAAATACAAAAATTTCGATGACTCCGTAAATCACGAGGCAAAATCACCTAAACTTTATATTTAGGTTTTATATGGTTTTGTCCAAAAATTTGATTTTGTTTAAATTTTAAAAAATGGGCGCGGCTAGGCATATCTCAGAAATTGCTTAACCAATTTCTCCTAAACTTCTATATTTAGTGTATTATATTTAGTGTAAACACGTTATGAACATTTATGTGAAACTACAAAAATGTGCAGTGTAACGAGCAGCAATAAAATATGATCATTAAAAATCAACAACATCTGTGAAGTTATTATTTTTTGTTTGTAGCAGGAAGTCGACGACCGACTTAAACTTCTGCTCTCAATCCGTAGAGAATAGAGTATGTATGTACATACAAATGTCTCTATCAACTTGCAGTGTGTAAGCATCTTAGGTGAAATCGACAGTGCATAAATAATCAATTTATTATTTGAAAATCATGTCATTGTGCCTTTATGTGTACACGTATGTATGTATGTACATATGTATGTATGCTCCAATGTAGTTTGTATAAATGCATTATGACCCTACAAGACAGCTGAGTATCATATGAGTACTCATATTATCATTACCCCTAATCTCAAAAGTGCTTATCAAAGTCCTCATTTTCGTTCAGGCCATGGGAAAAAATTGAGTACTTTCCCCTCAATGTTGTCATCAGAAAGTCCTCAGTACTAATAGTCAAACTACTCATTTATGCCGTACTACAAAAACAAAAGTGTAAATGTGTGAGAATTTTTGCCTAAAGTGCTCAGCAATGTCTTGTAGGGGAATGTATGTATATACATACATACTTGCCGGTTATGGTGCTATCATTACGATAGATGTCATTTATAACTTTGTTGTACACTAGTACAAGCCTCTGCTGATTGTATTTATGTGCATTTTCGTAATTACAGTAATTTGCTCGAAGCTACTTACAATTGTGTGTTTTGACATTATTTATTTTTAGGTTACATTTTCAATCAAATCAGGCATGACAGATTTATTAAATTAGTAAGGCAATATTTGAGCTACAAAGGCATTGGTGGATATATTGGAGATGCTGCTGATGTGTTAGCTGGACGATTTGCAACAACCGCACCAGTAGGCCTCGAGTATTTCTTTACGATACTTCACCACCCCAGACAGCATCGAGTTTAGCAAAGTAGTCAAAGCGTTAAAACCTCATATCGAGTTTCCACTAGGTAATAAAACTATAAAAATAAATTGCCATTTAAAAAACGCTATGTATGTGGAAAAAATCTTATTGACTATTTTTATGAACGCAATGGTACGAATATTATTAATGTTCACTGTATCATTAAAATTTTTGATATTCAATGTCCAGTGAAAATCCAACATTAGACAAAATAGAGGCTGCTATGATTGGAGTACTTTTGGGAATTGAAATTTAAATAAATTTTAAGTAAATTTTAAATAAATTTAGAATTATTATTAGATATAAATTGTGGCTTACCGAACAGTCAATTAGAAAGCTTGGAAAGAAGTTTTTTTTCTGAAGTTCGCAGAAATGGCACTAAAAATGTTTTGAAAAAAATGCATTTGCGGAGTATGGTTTTTTACTTATAGCTATTTTTTTTTTGAGGAAAAAATCTTGTTTTAATAGATTTGTTCGCTTTTTCTTTTTTTTTAATACGACGTTCTGCCAACAAACGAGCGATATGTACTACAAATGAAAAATTTCGAATGTTGTTGAATATTTAAAGATTTCATAATTTTCCTTATCGACAACATACAACAAATACCAAAATTTCACGTCACGAACTTTCTTTTTTTTTGTAATAGCATTTGGTTTATGTGCATACATAAATGCTGAGGGTTGAGCCATGTACATAAACATAGAATACCAAATTAACAACAACGGAATACAAGGGGTACAATCAAAAGTGTGTCTCACTGCTGCTTTATGGGTAGATCGTCCACCTCCACCGCCACCATTAGCATTGTGTTCAACAATAAGTTTCATGCAGTTTTTTGTTTCTTTATTTTGGTTTTGTTTTAAAATTTTTTTGCTTGTTTGCCGTCCGTTCCTGTTGCAATTGCAGCAAAACGAAAATCGATTACCTTTGGTAGTTCGCTGCTGTCTGCATCAAAAGCACGCCCAAGCCCATGTTGCTTGAATATGTATGTGCGCATGTATTTAAACTAGGGTGATACATATTTGCACGGGAATTCAATTTCTAAAGATCTGTCATTAACGAGAACATCGGTAGAAGCGTAAATAAATTTTTGATCACAACTCGATGTTGGAAAATGCATGACTGCAAATGATTATAATACTTCTAATAAAAATCTTTAACTGAAGTCGTATATTTTCATTACTTTTTATTGTTATTGTATGATTTTTATTTTTTCGATCAAGTATTATTGTTTTTTCTTATTTTATAATTTTTCTCGTATTTTTTGTTTATAAGAACGCAAGTATTTATTATGAATAGTCTATAATAACAGATAATTTCCAAAAAAAGTTTTGATCAAAAAAATAAAATTCGATAAAAAAATAAAAATTAAACCAATAAAAATTAAACTTTTAGTGGAGAATATTTTTACGTTGTTTTTTTTTGTCTACTCGACAATTTCCTTAATTCTTCAATTACAGTTCTGTCGCCTTCATTCGCTCATTCGTCTTTCTTCGTAATCACGACAGTATATTTGGCTTTCATATGGCGATTTAAATTTCCAAAGAGAGCCACCAACAATGCTTATGGAAATTCGACAGTGCCTGCATTTTACTTTAATCTACAGGCTTAAACACCTTTCTTCAATATTGCTTTCCAAATGTGACCAAATTGCTCTATGTTTTGGCATCCTAAAACGAAAGTGTTTTGGTAAACAACAAATCCCAAAAACTTAACTCAAAGATTTACTTTTTTACACAAATTGCACTGAACGATGTAAAATATTGGAAATTCAATAAAATAAAATTACTATTTAGCGCGAATTCCGATCAGTTATTTCTTTATGCCCTTACAAGGAAAAACGAGATGGCATATGTGTTAAAATTACATTTCCATATTTATTGGAGTATTGCCACAGAAAATTTAAGTTCACTTTAATTAACGATATAATGAACTAGTTCAATAAAAAGAGCTGCCTCTTTCGCTCTTTAGTCCAAAAGCTTCCCAAGCCTAGTATGTAGACGTCTGTTGGTTTTTGGTTTCTACGTAAAAATGGCATAGCAGTGCAAAGTATGCATAACTGAGTTATTACTGTTCTACTATTATTATTATAGTATTTTATATATGTATAACTGTTTCGTCCTGGAATTTAGGGCACACTCTTTGAACTCGAGAAAGGCAACTGGTGAATGCACTAGCCGGACGTATTCTAGACACTCATGAAAGGTAATGAACTGCATTACGCGCTCTCTGGTTAGTCTAGTTCATTCACTAGTTCTTCACTGATGCGTCGTATTGAACGTTCGCGGCTTTACCTATGTAGGTAACAGCCGTTTTATTACAACTTCTGAATGGAAGCTAATGGCAGCTAGTGCAATAACTGGTGAATGGTTACAGCTAATGGCATCACCAAGTTAAATTTATTGGTGAATTGCATTGCTGCTAATCTG